CCTGCCTGAAATGGTGACTGTAGAATAACTGTAGATGTGACTTGATTGAGAAGTTGGCAAAATTGACTGGCGCCCAAACATCTAGTTTACCTGACTTGGCACCGAGGTGAAAGGAGCCAGCTAAAGATTACAGACTACAATGAGTGGCAAAGTTTCCCACAGGCATGACTATGATGTACTTTTTTTTTGGGGGGGGGGGGGAGGGGGAAGAGGGGGACTTTGAAGGAAGTTATTAGAGATGTCAGAATTACCAAAGTTTCTCAGTTACATGGCACACTCTGTTAAAAGACACACCCCAAACTTAGCAACTTAGTCAAGCCAAGTTCTCAAACTGAAAATTATGTGAAAATACTCGGTTATAAGATGTTCCAGAAGGTTGAGAGTTAGCAAAGGGTGTGATAGATCTGAGAAAGTTTCACGGTTGCTTTGGCAGAGAAAGCAAATGGTGAAAAACTCCTACCAAAGTCATATTCGAAGGTGTTCAACAGCTGAATATCAACACGCCACCAAGGATGCATAGTTTCAGTGCTCAAAAAAGGCTGGATGGACGAAGAAGGTAGGTGTTATCTCCACATTGTTTATTCACAGAAAAAACTTTTCTAATGAGCAACATAAATACAATTTTAAGAATTTGAAACAAGGTTCAAATTATTGTTTTGTTGTCACAGATACCTTGATACCCAGCATGTGCTGTTAAGAACGTCTGCTTTTCTATGGAAGTTCATTAGTGTTCTAAAAGCAGTATTCCTTTTTAATTTATAGGAATAAAGAATTGGATTCTACGCAATCTTCCCTACACCTCAACCAAAAAGCTCTGCTCGGGTGGGATTAGTTTTGTAGTCATTTGACAGAGGCCATAAATTATAAGAAACAGTTCTTTCAGAACCACCACAATGGCTCTTTTCAGAGCCACCCTGGTTCTTCTCAGAATCACCAAATCTAAAAAAAGTCAATGACCAACAATAATTAGTGTCCTATTCTTGTCTTCTTAGCTGTAAGTTCTGCTAAGATTGTGATCTTAAGATTTAGTTGCACAAAAATACTTGGCTTTTATAAAGATGCACCCCAATTTCAGCACTACTTTCCACCCAAAGACAGAGTTTTCTTGAAAAAACTGTGTGCCTCCTAACTGAGAAACTACGGTACAAGCTTTCTCTTTATTAAATATGTAGAATGGACAGTTGTCAATCACCTTTTTTCACTCATTGTAGCTCACTGCTTGGCTTAATTTACCATTCCTTCATTACAGCTCTGTGAATGTACACTGTACCTTAAACACTCGGGGTTCTAAATGTACATGTATATAGTACTGTTTTACACTGTACTTACATGAGTTTTAAATGTCACAGTTGCACTCTTCTTGACTGCACTGCACAGCACTTTTGAAACCTCTCCAAATCGCGAATAGAATCTCTTCAACCCAGCATTCTTGTTGTAAGATTCAGGAATGTCCTTGATAATCAATGCTGTCAGATTAGAAATATCCACATTTTGCAATTTATCTTCTGTGACTTGCTCCTTGTTTTCCTTTGCTAGCTGTTGTCCTTTCACTGCTGTTAAAGAATGTCCAAAAATTCTTGTCTGTGGTTTAACTGTCTTAGCAACACCAAATGTATTTGAAGTGGACTGCGATGTTCCTGCAAATAGAGGTTTTGATTCTGCAGTAGATTTAACCTGGAGTGATGGTGTGGCTGATTTTCCAAAAGTTAAAGAAGTTGAAGCACTGCTTTTCACTGTTTCACTTTCAATTTTAGCACCAAAAACATTACTTGATGAGACTTCTGTAAAAGGAGAAGGTTCAAAATTTCTAAAACCACTGAATGTTAAGTTACCAGATGATTGCTCCTTGACAGCTGAAACAAGGTTGGAAAGTACACCTGAGCTGGCGTTTGATGTGGATGAAACCAGAGTCGATGAACTGTTCATTTGAAAGCCTGAGCTGAAGACAGGGTTTGAAGTTTGTGATTGTGCAAACAATGATGGTGCTGGTAAAGTGCTAGCTGCAAAAACATTACCAGATGAACTTGGTGAGGCTGCAAAAGCATTTGCATTAGTTTGACTGATGCCAAATCCTGTTGCCAAACCACTACCAGTGGTAGATGTGAGGGAGGTAATAGCTTCTGCTAAAGATTGAATTGTAATTATACAGAGAAAAAAAGATCAGTCTTGAAACATTTCATCCCTCAGATTTGCATTTACATGTATGTACAGTATATAGTCTCTAATCAAGGTTTCAATAAAAACCAGGTTCCAGTTTTATAAGCTGTACAACACATGTACAACGATCATTTTTTTATATTCCACATGACCAGCTCTTGCTGTGGATAATTACAATTAATTTTCAATAAATCTACATTACCCAACGTAGCATTAAACAATTCTATTTTCAAATTTTGCAGGGTGTCCATAATCCACACAAAAAAATTCCAATACAATACTACAGAAATTAACTTCTGTCAGTACCTCTATTAATCTATGCGAATCAAGTGTCAATTTGTATTCTTCAAAATTACACTCACTCCAAATTTGTATCTATATATGAAATGGGATTCTCTCCCTCAACCTCTGAATTATTTCTAAAGTACAGTATTAAAGAGTGGAAAAAGATTAAATTAATTCTTAACCTGCATTTTGTTGAAAACTTGAAGCTGATGTAGGAAATCCAGATGTGAAAAATGGTTTGGCTGAAGATGCTGCAGAAATTTCAGGTTTAGCAATTGTAGACTGAGATGCTGTAGTCGTGAATGAAGCAGGTGTAGCACCAAAACCAAAATTTACTGTCTCAGTATGTTTGATCTGCTTTGCTTCAGAGTCGCTTTTTGTGACAGGATTGCGGTCAAGTGGACTAACATAGCTTCTCTTAGCTGGTCTTTGACCTGCTGCACCTGGATGCTGTCTTCTTGTCTCTTGTTGTTCTAAAGAAGGTAATTAAATACAACAAGGCTGTGTGCTAAGAAAAATTGAAGGGAGCCCAGTGCTCTGAAACTATGAATCCATGGTGCCCAGCATATGTTTTTCAAGAAAAAACTAAGATTACTGAGTCACCCAAGAGCAAAAGTAGGGTGCCAGGGGCCACAGCCCTGATACAGAGTGAATCTTTCACCTGAATTTATATGTACAGCTGTAGCACTGCCTCACTCTAAAGAAGGGTTGTGTCAACTGCGAAGGCAGATCCAGGGAAAAGGTCTGAAAGGAAGATCCTCTCCACCCAGATGGGGTGCCTGGGTTACACCTGTCAGGGCTCGACACTAATGACAGCCAACTAGCCACAGACTAGTAGGAATTCAGTTGTGGCTAGGGGTTTTCAATTTCCTCAGGCCAGTTTGGCTGGTAGACAAACTGAAATTGTTGTGACATCTAAGTTGTCACCAGCCACTTGGCTAGTAAGTTGAAAAGTTAGTGTTGAGCCCTGCCTATGGGTATTTTTGCAACTTCTCTGGAACCAAAAGTCTTCAAATGATAGTATTACTCATTACTCCACTTGAAGTACTTGTCTTCTCTCATCAAAAATTACCATTTGCATAAAATTTACTAATATTGTTACTAGCAGCACACACATCCTATCCTCAACTTGACATATAAGCCACTAACTCTGGCACATCTCAATGAAAATTAAAAGAAAATAGTGTGTGTATGGCATGTGTGATTAACAAGTTGTAACGGTTCTACAAAGACAATTACAGTGGCACATGTATAGGTAAGAAAGACATACAAGAAGCATTTTAATTTGAGTAAATCAAACAATGCCATCATTTTTTGCAGAGCAATCACTAAGAGGTTCATTAAAAGAATTAGTTAGGCAAGATTTCTGTATAAACCCATACTTCACTATGAATACAATTCTTGAATAAAAGAAGGTAGAGGCAAAACAACAGATTACTTTCCGGATTACAGCTTTGTTTTGATTGGTATGAGGTTATATGGAAATCTTTCCATTAGTTATACATACGGCATATGTATTCACAGGCGGCCCAGGCTCTGCCACAGGCTCTTTCACAATGGATTATTATAGAGTTTGTATAGTGGTTCAAAACTGACTAATCATTCATATCGTGGGCTATGTTGGGCTTAATTTTGCTAGTGTCCAGGCCAACCGCGTCGTAACGAACTTTTGACTGCACATGATTTGAAGGACGCACATTCTAATGGCGTTGAAATGGCGGTCAATTTGAGATTTTCACTTGGCTGGTTGCTCGACAACCCAACTTTTGCAGGATTTGTTTTGATGAACTTGAAGGGCAACTATTTGGCTTTCGTGTTGCCAAGTTTCGATTCAAGGGAAAGTATTTAAGTGTGTTTTTCAAGCGATTTTGGTGAGCGTGTATGAGACAGATCTTTCCTACCTTCCCTTTTATTTGGTAGTGCTAGGACGTTGAGCTGAAACACACCAAAATGGCCTCAAATTGCAACAAGAGCAGCACAGACTACTCTTTAGGAAAGTAAGACCTTATTTCTTTGATTATTTCACACAACTTTATATTTACAGAGCTCAAAAGTAAGTCCAACTAAACCACTATACAAACTCTATAATAATCCACTGTGAAAGAGCCTGTGACAGAGCCTGGGCCGCCCGTGAGGTATTTACCTATATTATTTCTTTATAATTATACACCTTTAATTTGTATTACGAAGCAAAACATGCAGTTTGCGTAAATAATTACTTCTCTGTACCTGAGAGTTTTCTCCACTGGGGCGGCTGCCTAGCAGCTTGTGATGATAACGCAGAGCTATGATCGTGAGGGTAACTAGAAGCTCCAGAGCCCTGTGAAAGCCTACGGACAGCTTCTTTTTTCTATGAAAAGTACATTTCATTCAGTAAGATGGCAAAGCATTAAACATTTCCAGAAGAGGAGAGTTGAACATAAAAAAATGGTTGCTGCATCTCGCACCGTATATAGGATCATCGAACTGTATTAAGAAATATCTGCTTCTCAAAGGTGCAGAGCTATGGGAGAACATGCAGTTAACTATTGGATCGTTCAGCGATCTTTATTTCTCACCTTCTTCTGTCGAATCTGACTCAACATGCTTGACGAAAGAAATTCCCAAAATCAATTTCCTATGTCGGGAATTCCTCTGATATCTTAGAAAGCTTTGAGGTCAACCATCTACGATCACACAGATAAGATCGACGAGATTTGCTCAACAAGATCGTCACCTCATTACTCTCTTGAATGAAGGCGCCATTCGAATGGTAACCGCTCATTTACTGGAAACTGTATGAAAGCTGCAGGGAGTGTCCATCCGCGGAACATAATTTGTATACCAAACACGAAGTGTCCTTCACAGTGGGTTTCAGTGTTATGAATCAGTAGCCAAGGCCTATGTTGTTAAAAACATACCTCTCACTCTACAAATTTAGCTCATTTTCCACACAAAAATTTTCCGTACACACTCCGAAATTAAAAGTTTTGGAATTCGAAGTAGAGGCAATACGGGGGTTGGGTGAGGAAGGAAGGTCCGTCCACACTGATGCGTTTTCGTTTGAAAATGGATACTTTTCGATGAGTTTGGCCTCCCGTCCACACCAAAATGGTTGAAAACGGATGCGTTTTCAAATGAAAACGAATCAATTCCAAAACAATCTCAAAAGTGGAGACATTTGAAAAGATGGGTCGCCTGTCCAAGTTATTGCGTGAAGCATTACTAAATAAGAAAAACTATTAAAATAATAATAATAATAATAATGTAATAATAATGATCAGTTTAATTACTCTTTTCGTAGCTTACAGCTAAATTACAAGAGTGGTCAGGATACGAATCATATCTATCATAACATGAAACATTTTACTAAGAATACCTATGTGTAATAAATTTGTCGAGACGATTAGTAAAAGCCATAGCGGGATCATCTCTAAGAGTGCCTGAGTGTAGATTGTATCCATGGGACACAGTTGTGCGATGTAACAGCAAGTTAGCATGCAAGGACACTGTCCTTGCCAGTGTCCCGATCTCTCTGGATAAACTTAGTGCATACAGCGGCACGCCGATCAGAGAGAGTGCAAAGACCACACAGCACAGGTGCGTCCCTGTAGGGAAGCCCAGGAAAGATTATTTCTCAGGCTTTTATCTGCACACTCTCAATTAGGAGGCTAAGATAATCAGGCAGGTTTTCCCAAACTGCGGAGGCAAACTCCAACACTGAGCGAATCAGGCTGGAATACGCCATAACTAACTCCCTTTCCAAAACACCTGACTTCTTCAGACAACGCAGTGCGAACAGGCGTTTGCGAGCCCTCTGAACAATGTACCCACAGTGCGTATTCCAGCATAAATTATCAGTAACATACACCCCAAGCAACTTGTACTTGTGGACACACTCGATTTCACAGGGTTAAGGTGCATGCCATGCTCGTTTGCATAAGTGTAAATATCTCTTGCAATGAACGGAAGAACACTTGTGAAACACCTATGTATAATCTCCACAACTGAAAGGTCGTCGACATATTTAGCTCTTATCTTCCATTGCCTGGCCAGGTTATTAACAAGTACTGCTAACAGCAAGGGGGCCAATGTAGTCCCTTGGTTACGCTTTACACCCAATAAGGCAATTTTTGTCGTCACGCATTTTGGCACGCTGCAGATATGTAACATAAGAGAAGTAAATAATAATGATAACGGTTATGATAATTATTAAACTCAATCCGCCGTTGGTTAAGTACTTTGTTTTATTTAAGGGGTAACTGGTTTTAAAAAAACATTTTCGACCATAACATAACATAACATAATCTTTATTTCTTAAAATAAATCACATATCCTAAGTTACAACATAAACTCACAAGGGAAACTATTACCTGTCATATTTAAAAATTATCCTATTACTAAAAACGTTCTTAAACCTTTCGGTGTGGATTCTAGGGACAGAGACTGACGTATTTCTAAGGTTGTACCTCATGTTCTTTTCCTTAGGTAAAAACTGGAAAATCAGGCATTCGGGGTCATTCGATCTTTTTTTGTAGAGTGCCTTGTCCGCCTTCTCTAGCAAATCCCTGATATCTACATTCTTGGACATAAATTTCCTTTTCAAACGCCGGTCCAGTAGGACAATATAATTTATTTTTGAGATCCGTTTAAAAGAATTAAAACAACGATGATGGCATCATCTGTATTTATAAGTTAAGTACTGGTGCCAACTAATGATGAAAACGTCAGTTGCCGAATAATAGGCATCTTTATGGTCAGGGATCAAATATGGTCAGGGATCAAATGTGGATTAATAAGTCTTTATTTTTCTGCAGCATTCCATTCATTTTCCAGTTACTTTTCCCGGCATGTGGTAATCAGCACTTCCCTCAAAACTAAGGGAAGGTACGTTTTTTATTGGGAGGGGTGGGCCGGGATATTTTAGAATTTTTTGGCCAAAAAAGTCGTGGCCCTCCCACTTTCCAGATTGGATTAATGGATGACCCTTCATAAATGCCTAAACAAAAAGGATCTGACCCTCCCCCCACATCCTCCAAGACAAAAACAACCGGAAGTGAAAATAACTGACCGGAAGTGTTGCTCACATAAGCGTCTCTGCGCACAAAGCAGTTAATTGCGTGGCGTTGGTAGCACATCGGGTGCAGGAACAAGTGAAAGTACAAGTCCAGAGAAGTGGAAAGATGAAGATCTGGGGTGGTTCCCGAACCCAAAGGGCGAATATACTGAGTTCTCAAATAGCATTTTGTGAGAAAGGTGAGCTTTATATTGAGTATAAGCGAATGTCGTGTAAAGAGAGAAGTGGCAAACTATCTAAATTTTGCGAGAGGGTTGAGACTACCAGCGCTTCACTTCCAACTAGACGACCATATCCCGACTATGGCAAGCTACCAAACTTCCATTATCTCTCTTGGAGTGCAACTCCCACCGATGGCCGTGAGCCGGATGACTTCCAGCCTCGAGCTCAGATTAAGCGATTGTTTGAGGAAAGTGAACTAGTCAGTGGGGACAGTGAGGCTATTAGAAGGTTTTCAGATAAATACATTGTCCCCGTAAACCTTTTAGCGGAGTACGTTGAGCACCATGCCCAGATAAAAATGCGTAAGGAGAAGAAGAAAGAGGAGACTGAAACTGGAGCGAATGGAACGGCTGAACCGGGAGTACAATGACATTGACTGGGTTGGACTGTACAACTCCGATAAGCTGTCGTCGTTGAGGGTGGACGAACTATCCTTGTACTTTTCCCATCACAAGATCACCTTCAACGGGAAGAAAGCTGAAAAAGTCGCAATGATAAAAGCGCACATTGGTAGCTTGCTGTACAATTTAATGGGGCGTCAACAACCTCGGAAGCCCCCACTCAGAAATGTACAGCAACAAGTGACCTCGTCACTTTCCGAGGTGGAAACTGACTCGCAAAGTGATGTGGTAGATCGAGTTGTCGGTTCAAGCCCGAGTAGCTCAAGCAACGAATCGTCACCGGACACTAATTTTATACCAGAGCCCCGCGCGGAAACATTACCGACGTCAAAATATGGACGAAAGCGGGCACGGGTCGAGAGAGACAATTACGTTAGTTGGGACAAGATAGTTTTTTGACATAATATTTCGACATCTGTTTAAAATGATGTAGATTGATTTAGACTGGTAGCTTTGCTTGTATATATAAGTTTTAGGTTTCT